GTTCCGCAGAAAAAAAAGAAAAACAAAACAAACTACAAAAAAACACTTGAACTTCCCCGCGAGACCCAGCCGAACCCAAGGCGGGCTGCCACTACAGCAGCCCTCGGGCCCACTGGACTGCGCGCGAAGCTTACCAAGCTCGTCGCGCAGGAGAAATACCGCGGGACCTAATCCCTGCAGCGCGCTTCGCTGCCCCCCTGCGCCCTGGAGGGCGAGATCGTCGATCGCGACGAAAATGCATAAGCCCGAACAAAGCCTGACAGCGCTGTCCAAAGACGCCAGCAGGAGCCTCATCAAACGCGTCGCGCCACACGCGCGCGCTTCAATGATGCCCTGATGGCCACACACACACACAGGCACGCAGACGCACACACACACACACACACACACACACACACACGCACGCACGCACGCACACGCACACACACACACACACACACACACACACACACACACACACACACACACACACACACACACACACACACACACACACACACACACACACACACACACACACACACACACACACACACACACGCACACCGCACAGACACACGCAAAACTGCCAATCCTGGCGCCGCGATGCAAAAACATCAACAGACGGAGACGAACATGACAGAAGCTGCGCCCAACCCCCGCACGCGCAAGAAGATAACGATCCACATTCCCACGCGCATCGGCAGGCCCACCAGATAGGACACAACGCAGCCACCACGCCCCAGAGCATCCTCCACCGCAAGAACTCATCCCCAGATCTCGCAGCCGCGGCACTCGGCCTCAGAATGACAGGCCCTCGCGCGGGCCCACTCCCGCGACATGGGCGTCGGGGGGCACTGATAAGCGATAAGTCGGAAGCCCCCATGAAGATTCGACGGCTTCGCACGCAAAGTGAGCAACAACTTGGAGGGGACATGGCCTGATATATTCATCCAGCGCCGAATCATGCCCAGGGCCTCGAGACGCCCGTCCAGCGCGCGGGCCAGGCCCCGCGGTCGCGGGCCGCCGCGGCCCGCTGCCGCCCACGACCCAAAAAACTTCGAATCCTCTTCTTCATCGGCGAGGATGAACGCGCCGCTGGACGCAACTCTACAGTCAGCCCCTGTCCAACTGCCCGCCTGGAACTCTGAGAAGCGAGGTGCTCGACCGGGTCGGGGCAGCTGGGGGGCGGGGCCAGGGCTCGAACTCCAGTCTTGAACCGTTCCTGCAACGCCCGGTCAGAATGCACCTCGGGCCTGGGCGGCAGACCTCCTTGCTTCCCATCTAACACCCAGCCCACGGCAGCACGCGCAAACTTGCGAGCCTTACCTCCACAACGCTGGACTGCCGCCTCTGCGCGGCTGCGCCCACGACCGCGTCGGCCCCGGGCGAAACCCCCCCGAGCGCGACTGCGGGCGCTGCCGATGTCTCGCCGAAGCCCCCCGCCCCCCCGGCCGAAGTCCGCAGCGGGGCGGAGAAAGAAGGAAGCCACTCGCGGAGCCTGCGAGGCCCCCCGGCAATAGCGCGCAGCACACCCGCGACATCAGCATCATCGCCCAAAGATCTCCTAAGGCAGAAAAGCCCCCGGAAACACGTGGACCCCAAAGCCGCCCGCGGAGCCCTGGAAACGCCACGGAAAAGCAGCCCCAGGAACCCTCGCGGCCTAAACCTGAACGCGCTGCGGGGCCCCGCTGCCGGCCGGGCACTGGCCCTCGTTCTGAGCCCCGTGGGGGGCCGCAAACTCCCGCCCAGATCGCTCCGGAAACAGCTGATGGCACAGGCCCAGCGCCTCCTCATTTACCCTCTGGCACGCAGCCTCCCGGAGACCACCCCGCCGGGGCGCCCCCCGGCGAGGGCCCGCGGAGGTCGCGGCGGGGAGCGGCACAGGCGCCTTCCAGATGCTGAATTGGGGCGCCAACGGCGCCCCCCGAGAAAGAAACTTCGACCAGCGAACGCGCGTCGATGGAGGCACCGCCGCTCACCTCGCAGCTCCGGACACCCTCGGCCAGCCCCGCAGACACGGCGAGAAGAACGGTGGCCCTCTGGGTCTTGCTATGAGACGCCCGCGCGCGCTGGGACGCGGCCACCACCGCTCCCTCAAGACGGGCCACCCATCCTTTTTACGCAAGCAGTCGGGGATTGAGGGGGGCGCCCCACCCCCCGCCGATGACGGACAAGGACCCCCCCCCGCCCACACAGCGGCACTTCTCCGAGCCCGGCACGGACGCGGCCCCTGTCCTCCAAGGGGGCCCCCCTGCGGAAGGCACAAACCGGTTTCGCAAAAACTCCGACGCCACTGGACAATCCCCCGCTTCAATGGCACCCGAGGCCTTAACAGACGCATTCCACCCCAATCGCCGAAGCCCGTCAGCAAAACTGACAACGTCGGAGGGGTCGACCCCCACCCTTGGCCGACGACCGCCCTGCCGTCAGCCCCACCGTCCGAGGCACTGCTTGAGTGCACTCCAGCAGGCGGCGCCGCGCGTCTCCGCGCGAACGAGCCCGCCCTCGCCCAACCCCGCGAGGCCCCACATTCCCCAACGCCCCCGGGCAACAAGCCTAGCTCCCGAGCCCTCCTCACGGGAGCGACCGGCCCTCGACGCGCGGCCCGCTCGGCCATTTCTCTGGCCCCCCAGGGCGGAGGGGGGGGCGGGGCGAAGGGGCGGCAGGAGATCACGCGAAAGAAAGCCGGTCGGCGGGCAGGCGGCCGCGGCGGAATTGGAGGAGGGGCGCAGAGAACAGAGGCCCCGCGACGCGGGCAGCCGTGAGCAGCGCTCCTCGAACCACTCACGGGCGCCACCCGACGCGCACCCCCTCAGCCGACCCCGCGCGCCCCCCGCACCCCCGCCACCTGCGTCTGCCGGGGGCAACAGGCAGGGCCTCCAGCCCCGCCGCCCCGCGCGCCTCCCTCGCCTGGACCCGCGCCTCTGCCGCGCAAGGCCTCCTCGGCTCCGACGCGGACGTCGCTGGCAGAAGCAGAGGGGCCGCCGGCAGCAGGAGCTCCAGCGGCAACAGCAGGAGCTCCAGCGGCAACAGCAGGGGCCGCCGGCAGCAGGAGCTCCTCGGCTCCGACGCGGACGTCGCCGGCAGCAGGAGCTCCAGCGGCAACAGCAGTGCCAAGAGACGGGGCACCCTTGCCATCCAGGTCGCCAGCCTGGGGCGTGTCGCCCGCTGCTCCCTCCAGTGGCGGTCTGGTCCTCGCCCGAGCAGCTTCCTTCGTGAAGAGACGGGGGCACTTGCTGCTGGCGTTCGACGTTGAGCTTCTCTGCTGTCTCCTTGACTCCTTCCTCCGAACAGCTGAATGGCCAGGGGGGCCAATCCGTCACGATCTGCGAGCTTGCACACGCCTCCCAAACCGAAGGATTTTATCGCATTCTCCGAGGTCGAAGCAACCGATGTCTCCAGTACATCTCTCGAGCGGCACATTGGCGACAGCCTGAGATGTGCTATCTTGCCCGACCCCTTTCATGGCAGCACTTCAAGCAAGTCACGTTGGGCATTGTCGGCCTCCTTCAACTGCAGCTGAATTGCCTGGGGCACCTAGATTTGCTCGACACGCTGTAATTCGGCGTTGGAAAAATTTGGCAAGCTTGAATTCCAACTTCCTCTCCAGGCGCGCCACCTTTGTCTGTGCACCATGGACAGCCAAAGCCAGGGGGAGAAATAGGATTGCTTGGCGGAATTCTCGTTATAATCAAAAATATATTGGTAACTCTTGACCGTACCGTAGATGCCCGATGTTCATCCAACTCTGATGCTGTGAGCTCCAGATCCTTATCGGAGGTCCCTGCTGATGGCTGGGGCGCAACAGCGCGGACAGGGCGTCGAACAGGCCACGCGGGGATTCCAGGGCCAGCCCTTCCTCGACTTCGATGAACGGTACATCCCATGGTCGACCACACTGCTTACACATCCATGTTCCAACGGTTCTTCTTGCAGCCGCACTCGTCACACAGCCACTGACGAACGACGGTGTTCCGTACAACCTCCTCCTTCTCCTCCTCCTCCTGGCCAGTGCTCTTCCCCCGAGAGCCCCGATCTCCCATGCGATGGCGCTGATGGGACACCGGGCGCGACGAAGCTCGGCAGCGGTGGCCCCGCTGCTTCGGGAAGAGAAACCGCGGCGCTCGCTGCACAGCGGGATGCGAGCTGGGCCCCCCCTGAGCCGTCTCGAACGTGGGAGGTAAGAACTCCCGCCGACGGCTTGAGCCAGTTCCTCCTCCTCCTCCTTATCCGTTTCCTCCTCCTCCTCCTCCACCACACATTTTCCGCATAAGCAACGCCTCCCTGATCCGCCCCGACACGTTTCGGTAGGGCGGGCTGGGCGTGTCGGCTGAGTCTTCCCCACCACTCATGATCATCAGGCTGGAATGCGCGTCTGTTTCACGGATGGACGACGGGTCGTTTTCAAAATGTGGCGTTCGCCTACGCGCCGCGCACATTCGTCTTCAAAGTCTACAAAAGCTAATTCTACAAATGTGGCTCTCGCCTTCGCACCAGGCACAGTCGAAAGAAAAGTTTGCCAGAGCTTCACGGATGCAGGGCGGTACCTTTTTCAAAATGTCAATTTTTCTGGTTGGCGTCCCAGAAATAAATGTCCAGCACATGTGGGACTGCCAGGGCGCAACAATTGCGTCGATTCGCGGTGTTGAAGTCCCACCAATGGTGTTCTGGCACGGTTTCGGATCGTCTCGACACAATGGTGACGTTGAGTCGCGGCATTGAAGCACTAAGAATGGGGTTCTGGCACGGCTTGTAATTTTGAGACGCCTGACTTCCAACGGGGCACTTCCCCCGTTGACAAAAACACTGTAGGGACCTGTGAAGAGGGAACATTGAGGGAGGGTTGATGCACCATCGCTGATGAGTACTAGGTTTGCACTGGTCCTCCTCCTCCTCCTCCTCCTCCTCCTCCTCCTCCTCCTCCTCCTCCTCCTCCGCCTCCTCCTCCTCCTCCTCCCTCGAAACAGGGGAAGAGAAGGCGAAAGGGGCCGACGTGTAAGGGGGGGCGCGGGACAGAC